TCCTCCCAGGTCGTCCAGGTCGCCGCCGCGCGCCAAGGCACAGCCTCCGAGCCGCCGGCCCCGCCATTCCCGCGGCGCGCACAGCCATCTTCGTTCCGGCCGGCCCGGTGGGCGGGGCCAGGCGCACGCAGGCCCCGCCTCTCCGCCCCGTCAGCCGCTCCTCCTCCTCCCGCCGCCTCCGGCTCCTTACCCCGCCCTTGCTCCGCCTCCTCCTGTCCCCCTTCCCCCTCTCCCTCAGCCGCCCCTCCTCCAGCCTCCCTCGGAGGCTCTGCTCCCCGCTGCCCGACCGCACCCCCATCCCTCCCGCGCCGCTGCTCCTCTTCCCGCGGCCTCCTCCTCCGCGCGCTCCTCCCGCTTCCCTCCTCTCGCTCCAACCCCTCCTCCGGCCTCGGGAAACCGCACGCGGGCCTGGATGGGCGCCGCCGCGTCCGCCCGCCCCCGGGCCACCGCGGACAGGAAGGAGGGTGGGGAGGACGGCGCCCCACCCGGGCTGATTCCTGGGACCCAAACAATTCCCGGGGGGGAGAGCAGTCACCTCGCTTGACCCCTTCCCGGGCCGGCGATGTTTGGGGTCCTCCCCTGTGCGCACGTGGAGGGCGGGGGCTCCGCCCTGGGGTTCCCGATCCCCCAAGCTGGTCCTGGGATGGTGGATAAAGTCCCTGAGGGGAGGCCGAGGAAGCTCGGTAGCTGCAGGAGGAACCCGCAGCCGGCCCTCTTGGGGGGAAGGGAGGACGCACCTGGAAGCGAGGATCTGGGCAGGTGGCCAGGTCGCGTCCCTGCCCGGAGAGCCCAAGAAGGGCGGACCCGGGTTTCCCACTTAGCTCTTGCATTCAGTCTGTGGGATCCCAGAGTTTGACAGTTGGAGCAGAGATCCAAGGAGGCCGCTGCTGGGGAGGAAGCCAGCTCAGCTCCTACAACATTAAACCTGTATGGTAACTTCTGTTCCCCTCACGTCTCATAGCTGGCGACACTGAAGGCCCAGAGTTGAAGCTGTGTCTTGCTCCAGATCCCCCAGCTCCTGCAGTGCTCCAGGCCCTGGCGGTAAGACGTCATGCCAGGAAATGCAGGCAAGTATCATAGAGGATTTCAAACACTGTTCAAGTGATAGAAAAAGGTCTAGGAAAAAGTCTAAGGGCGATCCAAATCCAGATACGTAGGGGAAGAGACTCGAAGAAAATGTCCCAAAATGCTCATTGTAGTTTGCGTTCCTTCTGTGGGATTGTGCAAAAGCTATTTACTTTCCAGAGCCTTTGCAAAATGGTGATGTTACTTTTACAAAGGGAAGTTGTTTTAATAAAGAAGACTGTATAGCAAGGTCTAGGGTTCG